TACATATGTAAAGGAAATCAAATTAAGATAAATGATCAGTTCTGTAATATCTATATTCTAATTTTGATCTATGTCAAAATTTCTATACTGGTTTTGTTTTCATTACAAATTCATAAAATTAATCTGAGTTATGGCCAACACATTTGTTTATGCTAATTAGTGACAATTAACAATGTTATACTTTAATTTCCCAACTGTATCATATTAAATGTATATAACATTAAACCAAGCTTAAATGGGTGTTTTTTTGTTCATTATCATTAAAATAAAAATGGATAAATATCACCTCTATGATTTAAAAAGTGTGGCGCATTGTGTTGCTTTATAGCCTAGAGAAACCACTACATATATTAAACCCAGGTGCCTCTCAGTTAAATTGAGCAATTGGATGAAAATCATCTCTGTATAAGATGCTGAGTTATTGATTGATATTCCACATTCCCACAGGAAACCACTGTTGATGTCCCACAAAGTGTTGTTTAATTGAACCTGGAGTAATGATGGGCGAAGCCATGCCCAACACTTGTTTGAACTTTTTACTATCTAATTTGGAGTCAAGCACTTTAACTAAAACACGACCCCGCTGGATTATGAAGCATCATCATCAGCAGCCATGATCAATCCATTATTATTAGATAAAGGCTTTCTCACGATCTGGTGATGTAATGGTAAACCTAGGCTTTCGTGACCAATGTCATCCATAAGAGGGTGTGTTCGGGGGATTAGATCGCGTACATATATAAACGTATCGTTAAACCCGCCACCACCCGACACAGCCAACTAGTAAGGGTTGCCACGTAAACAGAACGTGGCCAATTCGTCACTAGTACAGCACGCCGGTGTATTGTCTCCAACTAAAAAAAACCCTCTATTATGAACCTAAAAGTTATTCAGATTTCATCACTCCCGGATGCATGCCACTTTGCATTATTCTTGAACATCAGCAATCATCCCGTTTGGTGATTGAGTCACAGAATCCATGCATATGCATTACTTTTATGCCGTGTTTCATACTTTAAGGGCAGTGTTTGAATTAATTTCGAAGTGTTTTCTGATTTTCTCATTTTTGTTCGAACCATATTACAGATTTACGTGGATTCTATATGTTTGCCTTTTAACCTTTCCCCTACTTTCATTGTATTGTAGTGACTGTGAATGTCACTGTGTGGTGCCGGCCTTGCGAGGCCACGGCGGATAATATGTTGTCATTATGTACAGCCCGGTTGCTGGGCGTAGTACCAGCCCTAGCGGGGCTTGGGTGAGCGCTGGTTAGCGCAGAAGCACCACGTACAGTGTGCGGTGCGGGCACCCGGTGAGGGAGCGAGAGTGTCAGCCAGCCAGGGTTACGTTGGGGCATGATACGCTGGTTGACCTGCCGACACGTGACCGGATGATATTGGAGGGGGGCCACCGGTGGACGGGGGCCGCTGGGTGGTCACGTGGTATAGAGGAGCTCTCGTGAGCCTTCGGGAAAGAGCTCGAGAGATCTAGAAGGTGGGCGGGGCGAGGGGAGGAGCTAGCCCCAGCCCGGGCCGATATAACGGGGGCCCTGTGTGGGGCTCGGGGTTCTTCGGGTTGTTGGTGAAGAAGATCCACGTAGGGTTGAAGAAGCCTCTAGCCACGCGGTCCGGGACCTAGCTCGTGGTCCGGACCGGGATAGCGGGACCGTGTCTAGCTCTGCCGTAGCGTGGTTAGATTGGCGTTCAACGCCCGAGTGTAGGTTACGTTATGTTGTGTTGAGTAGATGTAATAAATAGTGTTGCTCCCAAGACAACGTCTGCGACTCAGTTGGACTCACTACAGTATTATTTAACAATTTAAAATCGTAACTCGCCCCACATTACTTGCAGGAACTAATACATTTATATATTCCAGACAGGTCCTTAAGATCTTCTGATCTCCAACTGCTCAGCACTCCCAAGTCTAGGTTGTGCTCTTTTGGTAATCGGCCTTTTGTTAGCGTGGCACCCAAGCTATGGAACGCCTTGCCACTTTAAATCAGGCAATCAGAGTCGGTAGATATGTTTAAGTCTGCTTTGAAAAACCAATCTCTTTAAAGTGGCCTTCCCTCTCTTGTTTGGTCTGTTACCCTGCTTCTATTTTTGTTTCCTGCTTTCCATGCAGTGCACATTGGGATCCTAGGATGGAATGCTCATTATACATTAAAATTATTATTAATGTTACATTATTTGACATACCGTACAATAAATATTCTGCTAGTAGTAATTAGTCTTATCCCTTAAGCAAAGAAAACCCACATATTGCCTACCTGACACACAGACAGTATATTATACATTCAGACCTCCAGGAACAAGCAGATACTTGCTATTTAGTCTTGTTGAAATGAAAAGCGAGACTGTTCACCTTGAGGTTTGTGGCTTGACACCTCTGGCGTCCCATATTACTATGGCATTTTCAAGACCTATATGGTAGGGGGGTGGGTGGTGTAAAACGGATGTTGATGGTTTACAACAACAAAAAACTCCCTCTCTTTATATTCATCTTTGGTTGTGTTCTCTTTCTTACTGCATAGGTTTTGGCAGTGGTGCTCTGTATCTCTCTGATGTATTTTCGAGTTGTACTAAACTAAGCTATTTTTTTATTTTACCTAGGTAAGGCCCACTGAGCTATGTAGCTCTTTTTCTGAAGTGGCTGACCACAAATGATAGCTCAACGAAGTGGCTCATCACGTGGACATTTATAGCAGCCAAATATTCTTTACGCATGTTCAAAATGTGGAAGGAAAAACCGGAGAAAAATCCATGCGATCACAAGGAGAACATGCAAACTCCAAATATTACAGGCGTCAGGATCGAATTCACGACCTCCTGCATACCAGGCGAGATAGGTTAACATCTCACTATCGCGGCACCCCTGGAGTGATGAGCCAAGCCATGCCCAAAAGTGGAATTTGTTATCATGTTATTCGAAGATAATATCCAACAATTCTCTCCATGTGCTGAGAACTTCTTCGAGGACGTGCTGGGAGCCTCTTCGAGAGCTTATGGAGTGGAATGTCCCGCATTTTTCTAAACAACCCGTGTCACACGCATAAAATAACATGGAAGAGCTGCTCTGTTGTTCATGGTCTATGATTGTGCGTGGGAATTTTTTTGTATGTGCACGCTGAGAAATGTTTTACGAGGTTCATGAAAATTAGTTATATCATAAATGACAAAAAAGAAAGATTTTACGGCAAAATGTGTTCACTGTGAAAAATTGCACAACAATAATAATATTTAATAGAACAAAGTAGGCCAGATGACGGTGGGATGGGGACAACATGTAAATGAATATTTAAATAATTCACGCTAATAGGGCATAATACACTTTTATGAAGGATGGTGGAGTTATGACAGCTTTTTTGGTCGCTTGCCTCACTCGGGACTGCAGACGATCTAAGGGATGCATTGGGGGATCGGATTGTTTAGGCCCTTGCACTGTGTAACCATGGCAACTAAACATAGACTACAAAGAATTTTAAGCACACAGCTCCCTGAAACGCAGCCCTGCTTAGTGTTTGTGGACACCCAACTTCAAGTGCAAATCTCTTTCAAAGCATATTCCCTTTGAGGAAACTTTAGTTAATTGCATTTGACTGCAAAGTAATTTCAGTGTGCACATTGGACAGTGATGTGAGCTTAAGTGAAACCCACACTAATTTACGTCACAAGCAGCAGCAGCAATACAACTATTAATACAGATATAAATTTATAAACGTGGCATATATGCACGGACGTGATTGTGTGTTCCTCCTGTGCAGTGGTGCTATTAATAAAAAAATTACCTCTCACGTCTTATAATTCATGTTTCCATACAGACCTTTATCTGGGCATACAAACTACTCCCAAATCAAATAATGCCATTTAATGTATATTTCTTTCGGATATGAAACAAACGTGTTTTTGCCTCACGATGGCTAGGTTTCGGTGTGTAGTGCTTCTTTTCATGCATTTTGTAGAACATCACATTTGTGTAAAGTAGTTTATTCCACAAATAAGTGCATTAGGCTGATATGCGAATATATTTTGGATTGGAGCTAAATTTTATCGTAAAAAAAAGTCCCGTGTCTTATTTTTGTTGGATATGCAGTCCAGAATGGATGCTCATGGAGCTTAATTTTGTACGGAATATTTTCCGCCCCCCCCCCCCCCCAACTACCTACACCGTGTACCCCAATCATCGTCTTCCCATCCCTCCATTCCCCTCAACAACAAAAAAAACATTTCAGATCGGAAAATGTTTTCATATCAACACTAATATATTTTTTCAGGAATCCCAACGTTCATACCATAGATTGCATCGCTAAAAAAAAAACCCAAAGTATTTAGTGATGCTGCATTTGCAGCGGTGCTCAAAGCAGAATGAAAACAACTCAACACATTCAATATCACCGCCTCAAAAGGAAACGAACTATACAATAGGCGACGTTTCGGGCAATGGCCCTACTTTATAGCTATGAAGAAGGGCCATAGCCAAAAATGTCGCCTATTGTGATGCATTTATTTTAAGGCACTATTATTGACACACGTGTTGAGCTTTTTTTTTTTTTTTTAAATCACAAATATCTCAGAATCGGTGCACAGTACAGACCAAGCGAGGATTCCACAAACACACAAGGCGACACTATAGATGGGAGAGCGCTTCCGATAAACGCGCGTGAACCTCTATGCCAATCGCACGCGTTCCACGCGGACATCCCGATCAGAGGGGGCCCTCGACGCGGCTCAAGCGTCACAAAGCAAACGCAGGTACGGGCGTGAAGGGAGCCATGCGGCACCGTGGGAGAGCTTCACGACTCTTCTTTTTCGGAATCCCAAGAAAGTTTCACAGGAAGCGCCGAAGACGAAGCCCCCCCCCCTGCTTATCTGCAGCCCCATTGCCTTAAGCAGAGCCACCTAGCGGGGGAACCCGGGCCTCATCGCCGAAGGGGGGGGGGGGGGGGGGCTCGGCGCCGGGGATAACGCGGCTGTGAAGCGGAAAGTGCAGGAGGCTTCGGCACACACACACACACAGGGAGGGAGAGAGAGAGAGACTGACTCTTCATCCCCCATCTCGTGCCTCGTTCTCGTCACCTCCTTTCCTCGTCAATTCGGCAAGGGACGAGGAAGCCGGCTGGCCGGTCCAGCTGGATGAGAGACGGAGCGGAGCAGCAGCAGCAGCAGCAGCGGCGGCGGCAGGGGGCCACGGGCAGCAATGAGCGGGGGGCGGTGGCAGAGAGGAACGGGGTCGACCCCGGGCAGATCCGGGCCACTCCTTTGGGGGATCCCTCCGCTGGGGGGCTGGTGGAGTCGGTGGACCCCGGCAGGCAGAGTGAGGGCGAGTGCCGGCGGAGAGCTGGGGACAAGGACGAGCGAAGGGTGAAGCGGACACACAAGCATTTAGTACACATGCACACGCACACACACACATCTCCACGGTATACACGCACAACGAACGTGTGCAGCACGTATATACACACAGGCGTGCGCGCGCGGTGTGTGTGTGTACATCTCTTTGCTATCCACTGTTGGATTAAAGCTCTGTCACGCCGTGCCGTGGCACAGCGGTTGCTTGACCATACTTCACCATTGCTGTCCGGCGCTGGTTGGTGAACGGGGTTTGGTTTGGTGGGGGTACCCATGAAGATCTTCGGGACATCACGCGGCAGCATGTCACCGTCGTAAAGCCGTGGGTGCGGATGGAGCGCATGGTTTGTAGCAGCAGTGCGCTCACCATTGCGCCACCGCTCCCCAAATTTATGCAGTAGGAACACAACATCTGCACACAGCCTACACATACCGAATGTACATGCACAGCGCACGCACCATCCCTATTACAGTTAGTTATACACATGCATGTGCACATAGATACATGCCGACACGGTATACACACAATAGTACATGTGCGCACATGGGTTACAGTATACATTGTATACTATGCATCCGCACACGTTTGCATGCGTACACAAACGTATCACACATTTGCTTACTCGCATACATTTCACATGGAGTATTCTTAACATCGCAGCCCATCATTATTCCGGGGTCAATGAAATGATTCCCACTTTGTGGGTAAGCCAATACTGTTCCCCCCCCCCCCTGTGAATGGACTCGCCCCCGCCATATGAATGTGGAATTCACACCGCTGGCTCAGAGCTGTAAACGGGAGGGTAGTCGCAATTACATCAAAGGCTCGTTTGCGCAGGAATTCACCGGCGTGATTGGCATTGTATGGCACACAACACTGCATGCCATTGTTTAAACAACACAAACATGTGTGTATAATAAAAAGCACTCGGCCTCATGCATTATGCAAAAAATACATGAACCGTTCCTGAAGAACTGCGTTCTGTTATGATGGGGTTTCTCGTAATTCGCAAATGTGATTACTGCATGAAATACGAACACGCAGTGCGAATGCACAAGTCGGTGTATGGGAGGCTGGGAGCACATTCATAGATTGCACACACATGTTATACAGCACGGGTTATGAACACACATAGGGCTAGTGCACGCGTATTGTGTGTGTGTACATAGCAGCGGGCACTCGCCCTCTCAGTCACCCGCACGACCTTCTAGTTAAAGGATTAAAAGGGATAGACTCGCACTGTATTCAGTATATACCCACACCAATCCTGTGCGCGTCTCCCATAGGTAAGTTCTTAAAACAACACGCGTCCGAAGCACTATAATCTGAGTTCATCAGCTGACCAGGGTGACCTTGACCTAATCATGATTATCATGATCAGTAATAATCATCATCATATCAGGGGGTTGGAGAATTGAGCACTACATGAGTTATGATTTAATTTTGTGAACGATACACTGATAGTAACGTGGCGTGCAATAACACTGGCTGCGACCATTCACGGGAGATGAGCACCAATCTGCTTAAGTGATGCGAGACACTTTGTCATGACTTCTTCGTGTGTGTGTGTATGTATGCAGTGTGACATAGAATGGCAGCTCTCCTAGGCCAAGCATTTATTACCTAAGAGACCCATATGCTGGAAGAGGGGCCCCAGGGGCTTTGCGCCAGATAGATTGCAGAGCCACAAAGCAGGTAACTTTATTTTTCTGATGATTGGCTACCCCGCACAGGGCAAAGGAGGTGTCAAATATATGTTTTTATTTGGGTGTGTATCTTGGTTTCGCTCTGCCCGCAAGCATGCTGGTGCAAGATATTATCGAGTATGTTCAGACATTTTTAACAAATGTTGGATGATTTATGGTTAAAAGTGTGAACAAATTAATTAGGCATTTTACTGACGGGGAAATGTTTACAATCCACACAGTTTCTCATAAATAATTTCCAGCCCATATACCATCAAGCCATCGGTGTCTTGTTCTAAGAACATCTTATAGCTGTGCTGTAGAGGGCTCTCTGGATGAAGTGGCACGTGTTACATATTTACATTTATAAATACGGTACTTATATCGGTATACATTGCTTGCTACTGGAAACAGAGGAAGAATATAAAGCTCCAGAATTTAGTTCGAACTTCTAAAAATTGGCAATCATAAATAATGTTTATATCGGCTCACAATAAAGCTGAGACACGTGAGCAGTTTACCGTATTGTGTTGCCACAGTGAAGATACAGGTAGGGTGAATGATATAATTGTTATCGGTTAATTAATGGCTCATCAATTTTAATTATTTTTTTTAATCCACCCCGCCTATGTCCATACATCAGTACGAATGGTCTACACAACGGATCAGTCGTTCAGCAGGTAACGTGTGGTGAAGTGAAGTGTGGATCCTCCCACCTTTTCCAAGACGTCTGGCCAGTGTGAAAGAGTATCGACCTTTACCCTCCAGAGGGACTGTCTCGAGCTCCTTCTAGTGGAGACCCTTTCATCAGCCTGTGGTGTGAGCGAGCAAACTCAGGTCAGTACTTCATGGTTTATAGTTGAACAATTTAGTGTAAAATCAGGTTAATTAATGTAAAAAAAGTGGATCAAAGTATGTGAATCGGTTGACAGAAAGGATTGCATTTCATTATTGGTTTGATATAAGCAGGCAACGTCAGCGTTAACCAGTTATCATGAGACCTCCTTTCCCGGTACTAAAATATGAGAATAGGTTTTTCCCTTTTTATCCGGCAACAAAACAGGTGTTAAGTTGTTAAAACACAACAATACTTGTGGACAAAATGCAAACAAAAAACATACTCTGATAATAAATGCATTGTCTTTGAAACTGATTGGTCCACAGCAGAGACAGCTTTCTTTTGAGCCTTGTCTCAAACGGTGTTAGACCAGAGGACGTGAGCATTTACATGTAGATGCTCATCTACATGTAGATGCTCACCCCGAACCAGTCATCTTAGAATATGAAAATAAATTTTACACAAAAGAACTCTGCCTGACGACAAAATTCAGTGTAATTTATGTTATTTAAAACCAGAGCTAACACACAAAGGAAACTATTTATTTCACGGTAGCCTATGCTACTTGACGTTATCAGACGCATGGAATGCATTCAGGGATGATTAGCTGAGCGCTAGCACAGCAATTCTCGCCGTGCGTGCAGACGGTGCGTGTGGCAGGAATTAGACCTGGGGGGAGAAACATTAACCACAGCCGCACATCTCAGCAAACACACGCAACACAGCAGGCCTAGAGAGGCAAAGGGAAACGGAGCAACGTTACCGCATCATTGTGGTGAGCTAATAAGGCACAACACGGTGGTAAAAACGTGACACATTTGTAACAGCAGTGGAAATGAGAGGAAAAAAGTCCTGCCAGCTAACAGTTTATCTAATAAAAATAAAATCCATGAAAAGGCGGCCCACCAGTACGGCACCTTAACATTGTGCCATTATGTGGTTACAATGTGGAGAGTCTCAGAACAATGTTACCGCAGCAGCATGTGCTGTGCTTTGCCTGAAGTGTTGGAGTCTTCCTCTGTCCTGTGATGGAAATCTGGTTGAGTTCCACTTAAGTTCTGAGGTAGTTGCGTCTGCGGTAGCAGGCGTTATCAAAAAGATTTCCAAAATCTTAAACACAAGATCCAGGTCCGATTCAATACAGTACACAAAATCCGTCATTTGATCCCATCTGTGAAGGATGTCATTCCTGACATGCAATACCCTGGTGTCTACAAACTAAGTTGTGTCTGCGGCAGCAGTTACATTGGGGAAATGAAACTACATGTCTCGGACCGTGTTCGCGAACACAAGGCAGATCTGAAACATGGCAGAACCAATACCTCTGCAGTAACTGACCATTGTTATAACACAGTGAGCTCGCATGATATTGTTTTTTCCGAGACCAAGGTACTCTGCAAACCTTCGGGCTACCATAAAAGATTTGTTCATGAAGCCATCCAGATATATAAATACAGAGACAATTTCAACCGAGAAGATGGGTATCAGCTGAGCAATCATTGGAAGGACGTTATTAACCAAGCAAAGTCGTAACTTGCTGTGGTGCTTCCATCCTTCCTGCCGTTTGGCTGTTATCTCCGACTCTCTGAGTTGCATTGCCCTGTTGGGTGCCTCTGCATTAACGGGCTGGGGTCTCACTAACATGGCCACCTCTGCTCCCTTAGCCTCGATGTATCGATGGTTCTGGCTGTGTGATGGGCTGTGTGTCTCACTGGCGCGACCACCGTTGCGGTGGTTCCCTTGCGCTTGCCTCTCACAGCTCAGTTGGCAGCGCCGCAGCTTGTGTTACACATAGACATGACATTAACTTGCTAATCACCCTAATCTCTCTGCCTAATCTCTCCCATCAACATAGTGCTAATCGCCCCATTAACACTGCTGCTGTGCGCATATGCGGGGACGATACTCTTATGTGGCGATGGAAGCTCATTTCATGCTAATCTCTCTCCCTAATCTCCCCCATTAACACAACTGACGTGCTTGCGTGCGGGGGTGGAATTCCGTTCCAGCTCAGACCCCGCCTGTTTGCCCATCGCCACATATATAACCTTGTGTTGTTGTAGCAGCTCTCTCGCTGTGTTCTTCTTGGTTCAGCAGTTCCACTGCTGGATTGTTTTTCCGCCTGAGGACGACCGCTTGTGTTGCGATCGAAACGTCGTGATATATGTTATTTTATTTTTCTACCTACGTGACTTTAACGAAAGAACCAAAGAGTATATTTTAAAAAGGTTTCTTCAAGCACTTCGTTGCTGGATGATTATGGCAATGTAAGTTGCTGTTCAAAGTTTAAAATATTGAATAAGTAATGCTCGATTCGCTCCATCTGATTCGCTGCACTTAAGGCCATAGAATCAATGAATGCGTCACCCACTCTGCCCCTGGTCCTGTTTGGCCCCGAACCAGATTCAGATATTTCTTGAGGTCTGCGTGGCAAAGTTTGGTTTTGGCTCAGCATGGCAAATAGTTGAAAACCAGCCATACCATACCC